CTCAACAACAGATATTGCAAAAAATAAACTCGTGCTGAACAGCCAATAGACTCATACATTGGAGTGTGTTAGTATATCGGTGAATAGCAAGCGGAACCATTCAAAGACAAAAAGAAAAAGCAAAAAATTGAAAACACATCCAATTGAACCAATCGGATCAGGAGTAAGGCTGGAAGAAGTTGTGAAGAGACCGATGGCTTCTCAGACCTTCAGGGCGGGCAAGATTTGGAGGACGCTAGATTAGTGCGTTGACGTTTGGGGGGGGTCTTTGCGAGGACTGCGTTGGTCTCTGGGACCACTATTCCTACCCGCGGGATCCCCGTCAGTTAGGTGGTCTTGCAAATATTGGTGGGCTTCTTCAGGATGAACGAAAGATTTAGAATCCCCCGATGGTGCAGTGAAACGTAACGTGGCCGGATATGCGAGTGTGAACTTTATTTCTTTCTGGTAAAGAGTAGCACAGACCTGCTGGAATGCTTTCCGTTTACGTGATACTTCCTGTGAGTAGTCCGCAAATAGTAGTAATTTGTGACCCTCAATTTGCAGAGAACGGGAGTTACGGAAAGAGGTGAGGATCGCTACGCGGTCAGCATAATTGAGATAGCGGACAATCACAGAGCGTGGCGCACGACGCTCATTAGATGGGGGGCCCAGGCGATGAGCTCTCTCTACCTGGCAAGAAGAGGATAGGCCCAAAGCTGCAGGGATCCGCGCTGAGCAGAGATCGGGGAGAGAACCTGTATTAAAAGATTCTGGAAGACCCACAATGCGTAAATTATTCCTACGTGATCGATTTTCCAGATCGTCGATTTTATCCATTATACTTTGCTGTACACGATTGGATTGTGAAGTAAGTGCTTGCATTGAATGAAATTCATCTTCTAAATCCGATATGCGCTGCTCAGCCTCAGACAAACGTTTAGAGTGATCGCCCAAATCTTTTCTTAGCTGTTCAATGCCCATTGTGTTATCAATTGCAGAAGTGAGTGGGTTGGCAGTGTGGATGGTGGGGAGAGGCTCTGTCATACCTGCTCCCTCGTTGCTATCCCGCTCTGTGCCTGTGTCCATGCTGTGACAGGCATCGTCGGCCATCTTGGCTGCAGAAGGGGGAGAGCCGCATCCCTCCGCTCTGGCCGCCGACTCATGGCCGGACTGCGCCGGCAGAAGGTACCGCTCCATGCTGGGGCCACTGCAGGAAGGTAAGGGGCACCCCAGGGCTGTATAGCGGGGGTCCCCGAGGCAGTATGCAGGCTTTATAGAGCCGGGATCCCAGGAGCCGCGGGTCCCGCGAACTACAGCATCCGGCGCCGGAACCGGAAGTAGACAGGATCCAATTAACCTACCAGCATGTCTTTGGAGTGTTTGAGGAAACAGGAGTACCCGGAGGAAACCCACGCAGGCACAGGGAGAACATGCAAACTCCAGGCAGGTGGTGCTGTGGTTGGGATACGAACCAACGACCCTAGTACTGCCAGGCGGAAGTGCTAACCATTTAGCCACTGTGCTGCCCAGAATAAAAGAGAAATAAAAATGTAAATATGCCTGAGAAGTACACCGCGCTGAACAAAAGGCACACTGTCTGCGTTTGTATCAGTGCACCCGCTGCTGCCCGCATTTCAAGCTTTGACATGAGATTGTGTCTGTGCAGATGTTGTGTGCGCATCTACTACTATGGACTGCCTGCACGCAGCTCCGAGGTGGATGCACACACATCTGGCAGTGGCTCGGCACAGAGGAAGGAATTAATCGCCCTTCTGAATGAGCCCTAAAGGGTCTGTCCAGCCAGAAATATTTGCTATCTGCATCTAGTGGAATCACCAGTTGGCTTCTTATTACTTTAGGAGCTCAATCTTTTTGGATCCATGTACCATAAATTTCAACTCTGCTGCTGCCTTTTCCCATTTCACTTCCGTAGTTCACCATAGTGTAAAATTAAAATGTGTGAGTATAACCTGCGCAGAGGACTGATCAATTAGACTGGCTGCTGCTAGCAAAATCACAAATGTGTACCGGTGAACAAATGTGTGAGTGCAAACATAACAATTGCTGCGCTGCCTCTCCCAAAACCTACTTTAAACAATTAAATAAATGAATGTACTACATACTACACAGAGTCCCCACAAATGTGCATGTGCTATATTGCCCCGCGTGCTGGCAATTATATCCCTCCTCCCCAGTGACTAAATCCCAGATAAACCAATAAGTAAATACTAGGTACTTAAACGACAATCGTGCTAAAAATGGAACATATACAATGCCATGAAATAAAATATATATGTATGTGTGTATGTATGTATGTTTAGTGTGTGTGTGTGTGTATGTACAGTCATGGCCGAAATTGTTGGCACCCTTGTATTTTCTCCAGGAAATCATGTATTTCTCACGAAACGTATTGCATTAACACATGTTTTGCTATACACATGTTTATTCCCTTTGTGTGTATTGGGACAAAACAAAAAAAGGGAGGAAAGAAAGCAAATTCGACATAATGTCACACAAACCTCCAAAAATGGGCTGGACAAAAGTATTGGCACCCTTTCACAACTGCGGATAAATAAGAATGTTACAAGCATGTGATGCTCCTGTAAACTCACCTGGGGCAAGTAACAGGTGTGGGCAATATAGAAATCACACCTGAAAGCAGATAAAAAGGAGAGACGTTCACTTAACCTTTGCATTGTGTGTCTGTCTGTGCCACACTAAGCATGGACAACAGAAAGAGGAGACGAGAACTGTCTGAGGACCTGAGAACCAAAATTGTGGCAAAATATCAACAATCTCAAGGTTACAAGTCCATCTCCAGAGAACTAGATTTGCCTTTGTCCACAGTGCGCAACATTATCAAGAAGTTTGCAACCCATGGCACTGTAGCTAATCTCCCTGGTCGTGGACGGATGAGGAAAATTGATGAAAGATTGCAACGCAGAATAGTCCGGATGGTGGATAAGCAGCCCCAAACATGTTCCAAAGACATTCAAGCTGTCCTGCAGGCTCAGGGAGCATCAGTGTCAGCGCGAACTATCCGTCGACATTTAAATGAAATGAAACGCTATGGCAGGAGACCCAGGAGGACCCCACTGCTGACACAGAGACATAAAAAAGCAAGACTACAGTTTGCCAAAATGTACTTGAGTAAGCCAAAAGCCTTCTGGGAAAACGTCTTGTGGACAGATGAGACCAAGATAGAGCTTTTCGGTAAAGCACATCATTCTACTGTTTACCGAAAACGGAATGAGGCCTACAAAGAACAAAACACAGTACCTACGGTAAAATATATGGTGGAGGTTCAATGATGTTTTGGGGTTGTTTTTGCTGCCTCTGGCACTGGGTGCCTTGACTGTGTGCAAGGCATCATGAAATCTGAGGATTACCAAAGGATTTTGGGTCGCACTGTAGGGCCCCAGTGTCAGAAAGCTGGGTTTGCGTCCAAGATCCTGGGTCTTCCAGCAGGACAATGACCCCAAACATACGTCAAAAAGCACTCAGAAATGGATGGCAAAGAAGCGCTGGAGAGTTCTGAAGTGGCCAGCAATGAGCCCAGATCTAAATCCCATTGAACACCTGTGGAGAGATCTTAAAATTGCTGTTGGGAAAAGGTTTTTTTTTTATTTTGTCCTTCCAATAAGAGAGACCTGGAGCTGTTTGCAAAGGAAGAGTGGTCCAAAATTCCGGGTGAGAGGAGGTGTCAGAAGCTTATTGATGGTTATAGGAAGCGACTGATTTCAGTTATGTTTTCCAAAGGGTGTGCAACCAAATATTAAGTTAAGGGTGCCAATACTTTTGTCCAGCCCATTTTTGGGGTTTTGTGTGACATTATGTCATATTTGCTTTTCTGCCTCTGTTTTATATTTGTTCCAATACATACAAAGGGAATAAACATGTGTATAGCAAAACATGTGTTAATGCAATACCTTTTTTTGTGTGAAATACTTGATTTTCAGGAAAAATATCAAGGGTGCCAACAATTTCGGCCATGACTGTATATATTATGTATGTGTGTGTATATATATGTATGTGTATGTGTATTATATATATATATATATAATATATATATATATATGTGTGTGTGTACACACACACACACACACACACGTATTAAAAAGTCCCAATAATTGTGCAAACATATAAAAGTTCCAAACAATCAGCATACAGTGAGAATATTAAGTGACACAGTAGTAAATCTTCTTATCCATAGCAATTCTCTTTGCGTAGTGCTCCCCCTCCAGAGTCCCGCTCACCACAGATAATTGACCATCTATAATGGTAGGTCAAATATCGCATAAGATGTTGCAGCGTTCTCCTGCAGGAAAGTTGGCCATCCGTGTGGTCTTGACACCTCTATACGCTGACGACAGACTCCATAGTGGAAACTCCTCTAGATTAATCGTTCGCGACAAAACTCCTCCAGAACCTCCACAGTACTCTTCCACCACCGTAAAAACATCAAAGGGAAACTTCATAGCGTAACACTGTTTTTTTTTATTAGGTAAAAAACAATTAAAATTGCACTTACATAAAAAACCATTTGTATGGCACTTTAAATCCCAGCAAAAAAGCAATTCCTTCTCAGAGGACAAGTGTAGCGCTATCAAGCCCCGCTCAAGCAATTTTTATGTTTATAAAATTAAAATGATGTGCAACCCGAGATCATGTATGAGGTTTAATTCTAAAACATGTCTAAAAACTGAAAAATCTTTTTTAATCTCATAATCTTTTCACCTTGTTCAGTAATCTGTGCTCTGTGACCTTTGTTGCTGTTGACAACTGCAGTACACGTTCCTTCCAAAGAGGTCAGCAGATCTCTGCTATTGTGAAATTTTACTGTTTTACTTGTAGAAGTTTATATGCGATGTGTGTTTGTTCCTACACATTTATTAGTCAGTAATTCGTAGAATCTAGTTTTGAAAAAAAAAAACCAAACTTTTTCTTAACTTATATTTATAGTTTTAACAGAAAAAAATTAGGAACAGTTTTTGACAATTCTTTTATATTTTAAATAGGTGACATGCTCCGATATATCCATGAAAGCAAAGGAAGGGCTGCTGAAATGTTGAAGTCTGAGGTTTTGAAAGAACGTCAAGAGACAGCACGAAAAATGCGGAAATATTACTTAACCTGTTTGCAGCAGTTATTAAAGGATGACGGAAAGAATGAGGGGTGAGTGGTTGAAATTCATAGTGATAGTAATGACATAGGCTGGCATAGATGGATTGAAATTCGGCTGGTTCAGCCAATGGGCTGCAGCCGCTGATCAGTGTATTCCGACAGCAGAGAGTCCCCACTATCAGAATATAATGTCTCAGCAGAAAATATTCCACTGTCAGCCTGACAAACAAAGGATTTCCCAGCATGCTTTCCAGCCAGCCTGCAAAATCATCAGTCTGGCCCTGTCTAACAGTTTGAGTTAAAAACAGAGTTTTGTTTGCACACATTTGCAAATACAGGTGTAAACCGCAGTGCCCACGTCAAGGGACCTCTGTATATACTGTATAATGGTTGTGAATGTTCAAGCTGTGGGATGTTTAGGAGCTACAGGTACAGCACCTCAGGACAATATGGGGTTGATTTATGAAAATTGGAGAGTGCAATATCTGGTGCAGCTGTGCATGGTGCGCAATCAGCTTCTAACTTCAGTTGTTCAATTTAGCTAACAGTTTATTTTTTTTGTCAAAGCTTGTTTTTCTATGCACAGCTGCACCAGATGTTGCACTCTCCAATTTTAGTTTAATCAACCCTTGTGTGACAAAAAAGGTCACCTTGATATCCAGTTTTTGATTTTAAGTCCTACATTTGAGTCAGTGTAAGTGCCCATATGGAAGAAAAATATTCTTTCCAAATATATTGCCGTATATTTGAAATGCTAAAATTTTGGCCATATTCCATATATATTTCAAAACCTATTTCAATAAAAAAATAAATATATATATACATACACACTGCATTTTGAAATGCGTTTTTATTACGAAATATATGAAAAATATTTTTCAAAATACATTTCAAATATACTCTGTCTTTAAAAATACAAATCTACATTTTTGGAATGCACTTACATTGCAAAAATGTAGATTTGTATTTTTAAAGACATAGAGTATATTTGAAATTTATTTAGAAAAATATTTTTCATATATTTCGTAATAAAAACGCATTTCAACATTAGATAGATATAGAGATAAATAGATATAGAAATATATATATATATATATATATATATATATATATATATATATATATATATATATATATATATATGAGAGAGAATGCACATGAAAACATCCAAATCTATGGATAACAGTGAATAGCACCCAAATGTAAAAAGGTGTAACCTAGATACACCACTAGAAATCGGTGACTATGGGTGAACAAAACATGTAAATATAGATAGATAGATATTATTGATATATATTGAATATGGCCCAAATTGTAGCATTTCAAATATATTTTTCTTCCATGTGGGGCATGACAAACTCATCCTAAATGTCTGTTCACCCTAGCTCCTATGCAGGCATTGTTCATTTCAGAAAGGGGACATTATGTATGTTTTATTTCTTTACTTAGTGCTGAAAAGAAAATCATGAACGCTGCAAGCAAACTTGCAACTATGGCCAAAGTTCTGGAAACTCCCATCTCTCAAAAAACGCAGAGTAGAATCTTCAAAGCAGGTATGCTTACCAGCAGTACATTTTAAACTGGCCTTACACTGTTCATTTATTCTTCATTCACTCAGTGGGATTGATCCACAATTGAGGTGGATGGGGGAACCCCCCTGCTGGGACATTGGCTGCAGCCACTGATCAACAAAAATTTTTCAAAGTGTCCCTTCTACAGAAGTTGATCAACTGAATGACTTCTTTCAAGGGCGATGCCATTCAATGATCAAAATTGATTTAAGTCAGTATATGGCCAGCTTTAGTGAACTAGTGTGCTGCTTGTTACACAATGTATCAGGGATTGTCTGTATGATGTAAACAAGTGATTGGGATGTTTTCTTGTAGGAAAAGCCTGTTGTGTGTGCACCTTTGTAATAAAACATGAACATTGTTTAAAAGGATAATAAAAAGTGAATAAACTCAAGCGCTTACTATGGTGAATAGAAAATGTATATATGAATACTGTAGCCGTTAGTGCACACAACCCATGTCTCAGTGGGCTAAATAATGAAAAATTGCTGCGCTACATATACTAAAAATGCACAAACCTCTAAAATATATATGCATAGAATGGTGATAGCAAAAAACAATGTGTGACACCCAAAAAATGTTTTATATAGAGAGAGAGAGAGAGATATATCACAGTCCACTAGTTTGTGTTCTCCCATGACCCCTCCTTGGGATAATGTCCACCGTGTGAATCTGTCACAGAATTCCAGTGCAAAACATCCTCCACCATATATCTGCTCACCTCCAGCAGTGTGACCTCACATTGTACAATGTTTTGGTCTGACTGCACTTTTGGTCCTAAAATGTCACTATCCGAAGTATATTGCACGGCAATGCTAGGAGATCCCCTTGATAAGGTCTCGTGGTCTATGACGAAACGCATTTGGGAGGAGCGTGCGGATTACATCACGTTGTCATTAATCGGAATAGCAGTAGCGGTTATCCACACATCTCTCCAGGTTTGTCATATCTCCAGGCAATTGCAGATATGTATAGAGCCCGTGCATTGCCATGCAATATACTTTGGATAGTGACGTTTTGGAGCCTGGACTATTTCTATACTGCTGGGGATGATACTGCCATCTTGTGCCTAATTAGTACATTACTGGATGTTCACCATACATGGTGCAGATATGGACCTACAGAACGTGAGTGCATTTCTTATGTTTTAATGTGCAATAAAAGTTTTAAAGGGTAAAGCACTATTGTGAGTTTTTGTTTGAGGAACACGGTTGAGCCTGAGGCGGTTATCTGGAGGGAGTATTCTTTGGAGCTGCTATTCAGCTATTTGAACTTCAGAGTCCACACATTTGTGACCAAAAGTGCAGTCAGACTAAAACATTGTATAACGTGAGGTCACACTGCTGGAGGTGAGCAGATATATGGTGGAGGATGTTTTGCACTGGAATTCTGTGACAAATCCACACGGTGGTTGTTATCCCAAGGAGGGGTCATGAGAGACCACATAAACTATTGGACTGTGATAGATAAAGAGAGATATTATATTTATTTTTTATTATTGTATGCATGAAGGTAAAAAACCTTCTCTATGCAGCAGCCCCCCTAATACCTAAGCCCCCTCTTGATCCAGTGATGTGCAGTGGAGTCGAGGCTATCCTGGGACGACTCCTTGTTGGCTGAGACAGCAGCGGGAGCCACTGGCTCCCGCTGCTGTCAATCACAGCCAGTGAGCAGAGAGAGGGGTGGGGCCAAGCCGCAGCTCCGTGTGTAAATGGACACACAGAGCAGTGGGTGCCCCAGCAAGCTGCTTGCTGTGGGGGCACCCAACAGGAGGGAGGGGCCAGGAGAGCCTGCGGGGGACCCAAGAAAAGGGGATTTCAGGCTTCTCTGTGCAAAACCATTGCACACGGCAGGTAACTATGGACATGTTTGTTATTTTTAGAAAAAAGAAAAAAAAAAGTTTTTAGTATCGCTTTGATGGGCACGTTTGACAGGCTTGCTGCATGCGGTCGCATGTGTACTACACCATCTGGCTGCAATGTTTGATTTGTCTGAGTTGTCTGGGGGCTGAGAAATTGGATCCTCTGCCTGTTTTACCGCTCCTGTGCACCCATGTGAAATTGGCCCAAACGTAGCTATTTTCAAACTTTTCTTGCTTTTATATTTTTTCTAACAAATCAAATTTTCTATTATTTCTCTGTAGATAAGGCAATATTTTTAGGGAGGTAATCCAATCTCTCTGCATCACATTATTATTGGTTGCAGTGTTTAGTGGAAATTGGCAACAGAATGTCATTTTTAATGAGTGGTCTGCATAAGTTGGTTAGGTTTTGAAAATCATATGGGAACCACCTGTATATGTGTGTTCTGGGGTCCTTCGTCAACACACTTGTGATCAAGAGCTGTGGTGTTTAATAGGATTTTAATTTATGATGTTTGATAAATCTGCTTAACCGCCTCCCGCTCGCCATATAGTAATATGACGGACACAAGGTGGTTCTCTCATTCTGGGAGGACGTCATATGACGTCCTCCCATTCTCACCACGCATGCGCAGCTCAGGGAGCGCGCAGCGCGACGATCGGCTGTGCACTGTGTCCTTCGGACACAGCGGATCACCGATCACGGAGAGAGCCAAAGATGTTGGCTCGGTCATGTGATCAGCTGTGTCAAATCACAGCTGATCACATGTAAACAGGGAAATGCCGGTTATCTGCATTTCTCTCCTCTTGAGCTGTCACGCTGGTAATCGGCTTTCCGCGGAGGGGACATGTACACTGATCATCAGGGCACTGATGATCAGTGTGCCATCATGATCAGTGTAGCCCCAGCAGTGCCACCTGTCAGTGTTCATCAGTGCCTTGTGTCAGTGCCCATCGATGCCTTGTGCCAGTGCCACAGTGCCACAAATGCCACCTATCAGTGCCTACCAGTGCCCATCTGAGCTGCTTATCAGTGCCATGTATCAGTGATGCCTGTCAATGCCTACCAGTGCCACCTATCAGTGTCCATCAATGCAGCCTATCAGTGCCCATCACTGCAGCCTCATTAGCGCACATCACTGAAGGAGAAAAATCACTTATTTACAACATTTTCTAACAAAAACTAAGAAAAAACGTTCTTTTTCAAAATGTTCTGTGGTTCTTGGTTTGTTTAAGAAAAAAAAAAAAAAAACCCCGAGGTGATTAAATACCACCAAAATAAAGTTCTATCTGTCACAAAAAAAATGATAAACATTTCATATGGTTACAGTGTTGCATGACCGTGCAATTTTCATTGGCCTGGGCAGGAAGGGGGTATAAGTGCCCTGTAGGCTAGCGGTTAATATTTTGTATAACAAAACCCCACTTGAAATAAGCTTGACAGCCAATTTAAACTTTTAGAAGCAATAAAAAAAAAAAGGCTTCTTACAAAGTATATATTTATTGATATTCTGCTAATTTTAACCTTAAAACAATAACTTGTCTTATGTGAATTACATTTCTGATTTCCTAAATATTCTGTTTTTTATTTCACTTAAATTGATTCTAAAGGCTCATTTTTTTTCTTTCCCTAAAATAAAAAAAACGCTTTATACTTACCTGCTCGTGCACTGTTATTGCTTCTTGCTATGGGGCAGACGTGCAGGCTTACTCCCAAGCCAGGTTGTGTGTGTTCATTGACACACACAGAGCGGCTCAGCCCTGCCCCCTCCTAATTGGATTTGAATGACAACAGCAGGAGCCAATGGCTTCCTCTGCTATCAATCTGCCCACTACCAGGAATAAAAGAGCAGCACTGCTGCAGATGGGTGCAATGCTGAATTGAGAAAGGACTCGGGTAAGTATTTAGGGAGGTGGGGAGCAGACTACTGAACAGTTTTTTACCTTAATGCAAGTAATGTGTTAAAGTGGTTCTAAATGCTCAAGGCTTTTTACCTTGATGCATTGTATGTATTAGTCCTCATGCACACGGGACGTTTATACAGCGGCTGTTTTTGGCTTTTGATGTTTTTTTTTTTTTTTTCTACAGCCAGTAAACCCCCCCAGCATGTTATTCCTATGTGTTCATGCAACACATAGACTGGAATCAGTGGTTTTTGGCTGGACCCATTACTAGTGGGTTTCTAGAGGAGTTTTTTAGCTGTAAAAACGCTCTAACGCTGAAGAACGCGGTAAAATGCAGCAAACCGGCGTTTTTGGTCTTTTTTTTTTAATAACAACCCCCCCCCCCCCAAAACGCCGCTAAACGCTAATGCAAAAACGCTAAAAAAAACCTGAAAAACTTACGTTTTTAACGTGACTTTACACAGCTAATATTACCAGCGTTATCAAAACATCCCGTGAGCATGAGGACTTAAGGTAAAAAACCTTGTGTGTTTAGCATCCCACTTAACACTTACCTGAGCCCTATCCCTCTCCAGCAATGTCCATGAGAGTCTTGGTTCTCTGGGACTCGCTCCTGATTGGCTGAGGCAGCCAGGAGAGGGAGGGGTGGGGCCGAGCCATGACTTTGTGAATGGACATGTAGAGCTGCGGCTCGGGAGTGCACCTGCTCAGGTGCCCCCATAGCAAGCTGCATGTTATGGGGGCACCTGACAGGAGGGAGGGGCCAGGAGCACCAGCGGGGGACCCAACAAGAGGATCTGCAAAACCATTGCACAGAGCAGACAAGTAACATGTTTGTTATTAAAAACAAAACAAGACTTTAGTATCAATTTAAGTAAAAAAAACTTGTGACTTTAGAACCACCTTAACAAAGCTAGTGGTGATTCAAATAGGTTTTTTGTTTTTTAAATTTGTGTATATTCTTAAACTGTAATAATTTCAGAGCATCTCTGATTGCAAAAAAATTTTTTTTTTTTTTTTTTTTTTTTTTTTTTAAGATTAAAGTGGAACTCCAGCTATACAGCTAACTAGCCTTAAAACTTTCCCATATGCTAACTAAGCTGTGTAAAAGATGTATATATTTACCTGTTTTCAGTCCAGTAACATGGTCAGGCTCCCCTGTGTCAGCCAGTGTGGCTTTAGGGTAGAGGAGGGGAGCACCAACAATGGATGGGCCATTGAAGCATATGGGTGACATCGCCACTCCAGGCTTTACTAGCCATTGTTGGAGCGCTCTTTCCTTTCCCCTGCAACTGCTGATGGCTCATCCAGGGGAGGTCACGTGACTGGACAGGAGCAGGCCGAAAATCGGTAAATATATACATCTTTCTTACACAGGTTAGTTAGCATAGGTGTTAGGAGGGGGAAGGGGGCAGTTTTACGGCTAGTTAGTTGTATAGCTGGAATTCCACTTGCAAAATTTTAAAGGTTTTTTTTTTTTTTTTTTTTTTTTTTTTTTAAAGTGGAGATGATCAGGAGAGAGTTTTTTTTTACGCTAGCTAGGTGTAAAGCTGGAATTCCACTTTAAGAACATATAGCCTATTAATATTGTATCCCCTTCTGTTATTGGGTCAGCATTTGATCCAGTTTTAATAAATTTTAAATTATTGATCTTATTTTTTTATAGCATCTCTGCAGATTGAAAATGAAACTGAACATGAGGTGGCTAAATCTGTAAATGCTCAGATCTGTGTAACCGACAGACTGAAGGCACCAATCACAGAGCAAAGAACGGTTGATGAAAACCAGTATGTATATTGCCTCTAGAAGAGGACTGTACAAGTTCGGACGCAGAGTCTAACCAGAGGCCTTTTCGCAGCCAAAGCGATCCCTCTTTTTTTCATGGCTTAAAATCTTTTGACTGCCAGAATCATCTTAAGACCAAAGCACCCAGGAGAAGGTTTGAACTTCAAGAAACTCCGGTGCGAGATAACGGAAGCAATGATTGGAGCTCGGTCAGTGGCAAGGGTCTCTTTCCATCACAAAGCTCTTTAACCAGCATGAAAGTGCCTTCTTACAATCAGGACATTGCAGGGAAACTTTCAGCCGCAGGTTTATTTTCTCATGCGGAGGAAAGTCGTGATGCCTTTGGCAGCAGATATGAAGGTCAGAATCACTCTGCTCACATTGCAAAGAGAAGAGATCAGACTCCCAGTACATGGCATTCTAGTAAAATCACGGGCCATCCGCCCACGGCTGTTGAGTCAGGGCCATACTCCGATGTAGGTCGAGACAACCAACTACCTCCACGAAAATTATTGCTGGATTTTGCCACTCCACCACAAGACAGTGGCTTTGACAGTCCATTCCCTGATTTAAATAGTTTTAACTAATAGTGGTGTGTGTTATAGTTCATTTTTATAGGTTAATTTTTTATTTTTTATTTTTTTAATTTTCAAAAAACATGAAATATTTATTTTTTGACATGCATGTATATAAATGATCGTTTTTATATTTGTTTTATATGTGTGTTTGTGCAGAGATGTATTTTTCTACTTTTATTTATGCATTTGTTTATACAATTGTACTATTTAAAATAAAGTTAATTTTGAGTTTCTCTAAGTTTTTAAGCTGCTGTGAATAGTTTGTAAGGAAAATGAAGCAAAATATGGAATGTTATTAAAAAGTATAACTGAAGGCAAACCTTTTGGGGTTTTTTTCCAATTTTTGTGAAAAATATACAGTGCCAGTGAATATAATAAAAACATACAAAAAAAATAAATAGTGTGCAATGTGCCAAACATGAAGTCTCTCTTAAAGCAAAGCACATATACATTCAAATAAAAAAGATCTTGCAACATCCAGCAGATCCTTGTAGTATGCCAACACCTTAACCACATGCACACTCCCCAAACCATAAGCTCTAACAGGTACAGCAGACGCAGCAGGTTTCTAAAGCCTAGTACATATGTGAAAAATACCACTTTCGGAGCGACCATCCAATAATCTGATCATTAGTACACAGCTTTGGAGAGCCGAACGCGATAGTTCATGTGAAATCCAAAGCACAAACTTTTTTCTCATACAATAACAACAAATGATTTTTGTTTAATGATTTGTGCGTAAAAAAAAATCAAGTGACCAAGACCACGCATGCTCAGAAACATAAGAATACATTACAATACATTATCACTTCCGAAGATGTATTCTGTCTTACAAGAGCTTTTGTAACTTTAGTAACCTACTCAATTTCTATATGAGACTAGCATGAAAACAAAATGGACGATCATTCGTTCGATATTCCCATCGAGTGTATGAGGCTTTAGGCACAGATCCTCCCCAGGTGCACTTCCACTCCAGAATCACTCCTCAGGCAGCAACAAAAGGCAAATTCCACTGCAACAGAGAGCGCTCATCAAGGAGCCAACAGAAAGCCAGTGATAGTGTAGGCAAAAAGAAAAAAAACCCTGACGGGGGTTATACCCCTGTATAACCCTCTTTTACAAAATGGGAAAAAAAATTGCCTTCAGTTCTACCCTTAAGACCAAATGTTGATACTGATATTTTCATTTTTAAAGATGCCGGAGAGATGAAGTACATACCAGTTTTATTTTAGAAATTAAAAATTCTGGTGGTTACATCTCTGCATCTGAGTCCCTATGTCTGCCTACTAGGACCTGCCTACATAACGAGTGGGAAATTGCCTCTTAGACAGTTGTTACTGGAGTAATATTACCGTCTTAAGATTTACATTAACCTGTTGATGACCATAAATGTTGGATTTCCCTTTTAAGTCATTGTTCAGGTGACAATGGTCACCAAGAGAAACGGGGTGAATATCCCCAATGGGGAATTGGGCCACACTGAAAGTATGTCTAAAGGTTCTAAACCATTTTCCATGCTATCCAAAGCTAAAACACGTGGGCATTTATATATACTTTCATTATATCAAGAATGCAGCAAGAGAAGTGGAACTCCAGTCTGAGGGGAGCGGACCTGGAATTACAATGGGAATAAATAAATAATAGAAGCCAATTCTCTAAGTAAATACGTACTAAGAGAAATGTGTAGGATGTCATTACTGATCTGCTGAAAGTACTAGGAACCTGGTTGTCTGTCCAACTTATTGAGCCAATGACCTGGAAAAACCTGCATCTGCAACTAGCCTAAAGAGGAATGTAATGGAGCCTACATATACTGTATGGCCAAAAGGCAATTGAACCTATATGAACTTATCAGACCTCTAATACTCAAATCCTAGGCATGAATATAGAGTTGCAGTCCCCCCCCCCCCCTTCACTTTTTTTTTTGGCTATACTGGTCTGCATTTTCTGGTAAGGCTTTCTACCACATTTGCATCCATTTAGCCATTTAGAGCATTTGTGGTCATGTACCGATTGTGGATCAGAAGATCTGACTCACCATTGGATTTCCAGTAAATGGTAAAGTTGTTTATTAGTTTCACGTTGTGCAAACTTCTCCAGTTCCTTCACATCAAGCTCAACAAACCATATCTTTATATACCCGGCTTTGTGCAAAAAGGGTCTTCCCTAAACTGTTGCCAAAAGCTTGGAAGTGTACAGTTGTCTAAAATGTCTTTGTAGCATCAACAATACCCTTCACTGGATATACCTGAACTCAATCATTTGGAGGGATATCCACATACTTTTGGCTGTATAATGTGGGTGTGATGGTCAGGGGACCACAACATTTTGGCAATATAGTGTATATTTTTCCCAGCATATTGTGGAGTTTTGTCAACTTTGCCTATTTCAATATTTTTAAAGGAGTTACAAAAAAATACATTGCTACTAATAGCAATCAGAAGTATAATATGCAAGGGCCTATTTCTGTTAATCTCAGGTCTATATAACATTTTCTGTTAAAAGTAAACCTGTTAGGACTCATTCACACTTGTGGCTGGGGGCAGTAAAAAATAGGTGGTTGAGTTGTGGTTATACCACTCCCATCTTAACACAGCAGCCAGAGTGGTTGGAAACATGTAGTGGCTGCAATGCTATGCTTTACAAACCTTATACCACCTATTGTGTTCACTGTGCACTACCACATGCACATGGTCAGGGTGCGGTGGTGCTGGCTGTTCAGGGTTGTTTCTGATTTTGCAGCCATCCTCATCCTGAACTTAGCGAGTTGTTGACTTGGGGAATAAGGATGACATTAGTGGAGCTTGCACCTTCATGAACAAGTTAGCTGTGACAGTTTCCACTAATACATTCTAAACTATTAACAAAGAGAAATCTAGGAAGGGAGAAGGACAGCTACCTTTGCCATCCCTCTTAGTCCCTTGGCTGTCACAGAGTGCACAGCTGGTCTCACAATTCTCAGACCCCCTATAGCAGCTGTGAGCCAATGTCTAGCCCAAGTGCTATTGACAGTTTCTTTCGCAATGGTGGCCACTATCAAGAGCTGCATGTTCCATTGGAAGTAAGCAAGTGGAGTGAGCTACCAATACTTTTAGTATAGTTCCCGCACAAGGGCGATGTCCCCCTAATCCAGCCCCATCAACTGATGATATCTAGATGCAAGACCTTGGGCAGGCAGCTGGTTGCACTTGATATTATTGAAGGCACAGCAATGACAATAATTCTAACTATTCCTAACTCTGCCCAAAATTTCAAAAATAAATGTTTTAGCTACAGGTGTACTTTAACAATATAGCTTGTAGGGCTGCTTGTAAGTAGATGTTTCCAAAATGTTCTGTGTGCTAAAGGTTTTTCTTCTTTTGGGGTATTTGCTCTTGGTCAGTTTAGCTGTATTTGTGTGTAGAAGCCATTTGTGACAATGGAAGCTTATTACACTGTGTCCTTAGTGACCTGTGAGTTGGTGATTCTTGAGGAAGGGGTAAAGCTTCTGGCCAGTTCTTCTGGCACTTTTCAAGAGAGTTACTGCCCCCCCCCCCCCTTGGTCATGTCAAATAGGGGCTCAATAACGGCCTAGAGAGGTCAGCTAGGGTAGACTGCCAAAATATAGTCATTATAGTTATTATACTGTTGTAGTATACCACCCCTTTGGGGTGGGGGAGAGCCGAGTCAGGGTTCCCAGGGGGGTAGGAAGCCTATAGACTTACACAGAGTTATGCTGCCAGTCATGGATTTCATCTTTGGATTGCTACCACATCATGTGAATTACTGCCAAATATGGACTCTTGAAAAGGACTCTTTTATGGACTTACTACATAAACAAGGTATGACTACCTTATGGGGCACTATGCAAGGGCACTAGAGAAGTTTATTAGGAATCTATAGAAGATGCTATCAAGTACTGCCCAAATGTCTCATCTAATTACTTTTATAATGATTTTTGTTGTTCATGCATGCACCCCCTTAGTGACATCAAACCCAAGCTGAATAGATGGAGTATCAAAGAACAGGGTTTACGACAAGGGACTGGAGAGGTTAGAGAAAATACAAAACAGATGTCTAAAGAGCAGGGAAGCTGTCCTAAGGAGGCTATATTGCCGTTGCTAATGAATACTGTATTTTTGTTGCATGCTAAAGCAAGCAACCAGTCAGGAAATGGGTGATATGGCCAGGGTGACAGATACTCTGGAAGTGAAGGAGTGTTATGGTTTGCTCCGCTGTACTTGCTCAGAAATTCCGCACACTTTGGGACTGGTGATCTCTAACAGAAGTTGTTTCAACAGTGTAAGAAGTATGGACACGGATTACAAAGTGTTGACTGCAAGTTGGCCAATCTCGCTTTGGGGTGCGCCTTATTGCTGAATTTACTTTACAGTATCTTCCACCTGCCGTGCAGGCATTAGCGTGTGCCGACTCAGTGTA